TTCCCCCCCCCCCATTTCGAGTTGCAATTTGCCTTCAATTTATAGGATAGTAGGAGCAAGGAGCCTTTAATTTCTTCCCGTTGAGAATTGATTGTTGCGAATCAAACGGAAGAACGTTGGAGCATCCGCGCTGGTTTAACACGAAGAGGAAGAAGTCGTAGACTTCAATCCTCAATTCTTTTTTTTTTTCGTTCTTGCGTAAATCTTTAAGAGGACAAGGCCTGGACTTCTTTATTTGATGATGGGTTTGGGCTCTAGCCAAAATCAATATCTTCTTTCCAAACTTGAACTGCATTTTGGCCTTTTGCTGCACTTTCTCCACAAATAAGATATCTGATAATTTGGGTTAGGAAAAATAAAATAAAAATAAAAAAAATGTAAAAAAATGATTAAAATCTACTATTTTTTGAAAGAAAATAAAAAGAATGTAAAAATAAGAATTAAAATAAAACTAAGCTAAACAACTAAAAATTAAATACTAAAATTATTAAAAATACCTAAAAAAGAATAAAAAGAACTAACCCAAAAACGACTTATCAAATACCCCCACACTTAAGACTTGAACGTCCTCGTTCAAAAGACCAAAAAGAAACCATTTGAATCTTTTCTATCATCATTAAGAAAAACAAAGTGCACCTTATAAACCCACACTTAAAACTTTATGCCCATAGCATTTTAAAAACAGAATGAGCTAGAAATCCTACAAGGATGGAAAACTAAGGTGTGGATTTTTTGGGTTCTAATAAATGCTCTAAAGCTGCTACAAAAAAGTTTCCTAGCGGAATCCTATGGTTTAAACGGCTCAATAGCAGCGGTAGCAATGTTTATCAATAAGCCTAAAAATATAAAAATCACTCAATTTTCTAAAAATAAAAGGCTCCTAAAACTGGTTTCTCTCTCTTTTTTTTCAGATTTTAATATCAAGCAATGGTTGATTAGGCAGCATCTAGATAATATGTGGATGGCCAGTTCTAGAAAACAAAATTCTATGGGATTCCTAGAAGGATTTCAAACATTTTAAGGTCATTTTTTACCAAGAAAAGAGCATAAGACTCAATGCGAGTTTATAAAATATACACTTGCTATCTTTCAGAATAAAGCCCCAAGAAAAACAATGAGGTTTTTGCGCCAAATTTTGAAAACAATGCTCTAAATAAGGAGATATTCAACAAAGAATGACAAAATATTTGGACCCAAAACCTATTTTTTGAAAAAAAATTTGCCCCAAAAGTTTTTTTAAGCAATGACACAAGCATGAGCAACTCCCCCCACACTTAAAATTTGCATAGTCCTCGATGCATCTATATGGTATGCAAATATTAAGCAAGCACGGACTTAGCAAAGAGAGAAGGGGAGAGGGGAATTCAACAAAAAAAAGTATACGCGGCATCAGCTCATCACTTTTCTCGTTCCTTATCATGCTTTTGTTGGACCTAAAAAATCTGCAAAAAGAAGGCTAAGACCAAGTCTTTTAGCTTTGAAGAGATAAAAAATCAGATTTAAAGAAATGCAGATCTCAAGCTTCAAGTCAGGTTCTGGAAACAAATTCTTGTGCCTTTTTGCACTTTTTAAAACAAAATGCTGCATATGAGAAGGTAAAGTTATGATATCTACTTCCAAAGCAGCTCATATGCATCGATTAAACATCAAAATTTAGTAAATTTGCATCTTATGAACTCAAAACCCAGCTTGAACACCAAGAAAAGAGTGCAGATTTTTTATATTTCAGCACGTATAAGCTGTAAAAAGTGTAAAATTTGCATTTTGCACTCAAAAAATCAGCTTACAAGTCCAAAAATAACTTTTCAAAATGCAGAACTTTTCATTAGTATCCAAAAATCAGCTGTAAACAATGCATATATCTCAACTTTCAGCTTAAAGGATAGGCTATTCACTTGTGCAAAAAAGTATGACTTTATAGTGCAACTTCTCATTGTGCAAGTTGTAATATCAGAACCCAATCTTTGAACACAAAAAGGATAAGGAAACTGAAGCTTAAACCTGGGGCAGTTGGAGGCTAGAGCTACTGATTTGGATCAGATTTCACACCTGTTTGTGCAGATTTTTACTCCAAAGGGCATGCTTCTACCTATGACTTAATAGATCTTGAATATTCACTCAAATAAATGGTTAGAAGCATACATGTAGCAAAATTGACCATTAAAAAATAGCTAAAGCAGCAATATTTCTGAACTCCTGATGATGAAGTTTTTTTCCATTTTTCTGATTTTTTTCTGTTTTCTGTTTTTCTGACTTTTTTTGTTTTGTTTACGAAAATAATAGCAAAAACTAAATTAATAACGAAAAAAAGTAGATGGGTTGCCTCCCATAAGCTGCCCGGTTTAACGTCTTTGGCTAGACACATCTTACTACTAGCAAACAAATTTTCACTTAAGGCATAAAGTAGTAAAGCAAATATGTTTCTTTAAAACATTAAAAAGTTTAAAATTAAGAATCCAGCTCTTGTTTCCAACTTCTATAAATAATAACATTTGAAGATTAGTTGGGAAACAAAATTCAGATTCTAAGTACAAAATTTAAACTTCAAATTAGTTTTTAGAACCTAAGTTTTCTGCATTTTTGCACTTTGGCATCAAAACTTAGCATATAAGGGTCAAATTCAGAGTGCAAAAACAAGCTAAATACCTCTAAGTCAGTTCCTATGCCTGTATTTAACAATTAAAGAACATAATTCAGCAAGTAGGCATCTTAGGAACTCAAATTCAGCATGAAAATCAAGAAAAGATGTTGCAGATTTTTTTAATAAAAATGGCAGTGTAGGTCTAAAGTTCAACAAATTCGGCTTCTAAACCTCAAAAATCAGCATATCAACATCATCTCATGCTTCTAGATATTGCCCCTAAGCAAGATATATCAATAATAATTCATATTTGAAGCAAAGGAGTACCCCAAGGGACAAAAATCAGCACACATGCTAAGTAAAAAGTGCAGAATTTAGAAAAATCAGCAACTTTAAATCAAAGTACTTGCAAATTCAGCTTCAAGTGCATCTAAATCAGCCTATGGAGCATGTATCAACAAAAACCAACAAGCAAAATGCATAAAATAATGTTCAAAATGCATATTTTCCAAGAAACGGTACCGGAATCTCACAAAATAGCATATTGACAATCAAAGTTAAGCACAAATGCAAACAAAGTTGTTGATTTCAGTTTGCTCTCCTATGCATACCACACCTAACCTCAATGCTATGCCTTTAACATATGAAATGATTTTGCACAAAAAAGTTTGAGGCATGCATTCTCAAACAAACACAAAAAGAACATACGTACATCATAAATTGATTTTATACAAAACTTTCCCCGGCAACGGCGCCAAAATTTGTTGGGGACTTGTCGTGCGGTCCAAAACAAATTAAAAAATTATAAAATATCCTTAACTAACCCCCAAAATATAATCAAATAAAAACTATAGCTAGGGCAAGTAAGGGTCGATCCCACGGAGAAAGTTTGTACTTTTTAAAATCAAATTAGCATGCAAACACATTGTCACTAAAATAAAACAAACTAACTACTACACATATGATAAGACGTATAAAACTTATAATAAAACTTATAACTAAAAACATATAAAAACTTATAAATATAACTTTTATAAACAAATTAGACTTATAGATAAGCTTAGTAAAAAACTTATATAATAACTTAAAACACAAAAGGGGGGGGGGGGTTTGAATAAAAAGTAATGGTTTTTTATATTTTCTTATTTTTTGGTTTTTTTTGATAGAATGGGGGAAACATGCTCAAAAGATAATCAACTTTTCCAACTTAGGTAACCCAAGAAACACCGCCAAAAACCCGTAACAAAATTAAAAAGAGAACGAACACAAAACGAACATTACACGTATAATAGGCACTTAGACAATATATTACGTAACTTACGCACTTAAGAATAGAAAAGAACTCAAAGGCTCGAGTTGATTCATATCCTTGACTACATATGGAGGATTGTCAACTCTCTATAAGGTCCGGAGTCAAAGATTCAAAGGCCTTTTGGTTACTTTGAACCCCCACTCACCTCAAGCGCTCAAACAATGATTCCAAAAGATGAAAAAGTTTATAAAAGAGCGAATCTTTCTTTCATTCTAACTCCCATGCACAAAGTATTCATGAAGAACATTTGATACACTTTAATAAACTTTAACGTCTAATGATGAAAATATTTTGCAGGTCTCCTTGAACAACTCAAGCATAAGAATTGTAATCTATTCACATAAAAGAACACCAACCATTTTGGAATTTTCGAAATTAACACAAACAAGGGAAAAAATGTAAATTTGAATTGAAACAACACTTTTACAATGAAATTGGAGAAGAAATTGAAGAAATAACATATAGGGTTACCAATTGTTGAAGAAGATGAAATTGAAGTAATTGGAGCTTGAACGGAGTTGGAGATAGCCGCCCATATCCGGCCGGAGCTGCAGCCGCTACCGTCGCCGCCACTGGGTGTCGCCTCCTCCACCGCCCACCGCCATCGGAGCTGCTTAGATAGCAGCGGCTAGAGCCGCTGCTTTAGTCTCTGTGATTCTCTCACGTTCTTCCCCCCCATTTCGAGTTGCAATTTGCCTTCAATTTATAGGATAGTAGGAGCAAGGAGCCTTTAATTTCTTCCCGTTGAGAATTGATTGTTGCGAATCAAACGGAAGAACGTTGGAGCATCCGCCCTGGTTTAACACGAAGAGGAAGAAGTCGTAGACTTCAATCCTCAATTCTTTTTTTTTTCTTTCTTGCGTAAATCTTTAAGAGGACAAGGCCTGGACTTCTTTATTTGATGATGGGTTTGGGCTCTAGCCAAAATCAATATCTTCTTTCCAAACTTTAACTGCATTTTGGCCTTTTGCTGCACTTTCTTCACAAATAAGATATCTGATAATTTGGGTTAGGAAAAATAAAATAAAAATAAAAAAAATGTAAAAAAATGATTAAAATCTACTATTTTTTGAAAGAAAATAGAAAGAATGTAAAAATAAGAATTAAAATAAAACTAAGCTAAACAACTAAAAATTAAATACTAAAATTATTAAAAATATCTAAAAAAGAATAAAAAGAACTAACCCAAAAACGACTTATCAAAGGTCCGTGGATATGGGCGTCGTGAACCGAAATTCGAGGAGAGGCAAAGCTAAAGCCACCTTCGACGGTTTGACCTCACGCGGTTCTCAAGGAAGACACTCCGTCGCTTCCTTTCCTAGTATCCCCGATCAATTCGTGGGCGACGCTTTGACATATCAAAAATTCGATCATTACATGTCAGGTAGAGGCGATGCGAATCTCGAAACTCTTGAAAGTTTATTCGAGGACATTGATGAAGCAGGAATGGACGGGGACGTGGAGCCTACACTGCACGTTGACGAGGAGGCAGGTGAGCCCGAGACCTCTCAAGGTCCGGACAAAGGTAAAAAAATTAAAATCAGATTTATTTGTTTATCATTTTGAAAAAGATAGAAAAGATGGCATAGTTTATGGAACTTGTAAATATTGTGCTACCGTCATTAAAATGGAAGTTTCCGGCGGTTATGGTGGTCCGGAAAAACACCTAAGGTCGAGGCATTCCGTGGAGTATGCCAAATACGCGGCGAAAAAGAAGGGACGACAAGAAGAGCAAACCCAAATTTCTCGGTTTGCTAACAGGGGTAAGGGGGCCTTTTTTCTTATAGCGACGAGCAAAATAAGCAAAAAATGGCTGAAATGATTTGTGAAAAAAATTTGCCACACATGTTTTCTGAAAAACTTGGATTTATTGATTATTCTCAACAAGCATCAAACCCTCAAGCAAGAGGTTTTTCAAGAAAAACAGTTAAACGAGAAATTATTCGACAGTATGAACTTAAAAAAATAAATTTGGCAAATTTTTTTCTCAATTTTAATTCTCGTGTTACTATTTGTTCTGATATTTGGGGTGAAACATATCATAATTTGTCTTATATGGGTGTTACTTGTCATTGGATAGATAGTGATTGGATTATGCATTAACGTGTTCTTGCATTTCGTGATTTCAATGATTCTCATACTGCTGAAAATATTTTTCTATTGCTTCAGCGTATTCTGCGGGAATACAACTTAGTTGATAAAGTGTTTGCATTTGGTTTTGATAATGCTACTAATAATACTGCTGCTATTCCCAGACTTAAAGAAATTTGCCCCCCTACTACGACTATGGGTAGATTTCTGCATCAACGGTGTGCCTGTCATATTTTAAATTGTCATGTTTTAAATTTGTGTGCTCAACAGGGATTAGAAGCTATGGGGGGTTTTGACGAATATTAAAAATGGAATTAGAAGAATTTGGGGTGGTCGTCTTATTTCGAAATCCTGGAAGACATTCTGTAAGTCTAAGGGTAGAAGACAAATAACATTTGCCAAAGATATCAACATTAGATGGAATAGTACATACAAGTTGATAGCACAGATTCTAAGCTACAAAGAGAAACTTGCTGAATTTTTTAGGGATGAACTTCTTTTAATGATTTCACCTATTGAATTTGTTATTGTTGAAAAATTGAATGCCGTATTAGAAGTTTTTAATAATGCAACTCTTACTTTTTCGCATGTTTACCAACCAACTACAAATACATTTTTTAAAGAGTACATTTCGTGAAAGTTTGGCTGATGAAGATTTGTACCCTTATGTCTCTCCTATGAAAGATAAATGGTGTGCTTATTATTTATACATTCTTGATATAAAATAGGTATTATTTGTGACCCATTCTTTAAGATTGAAAATTATAAAATTCTAATTGACTATTACTACAGTTGTTTTTTAGATGAAAATAATTATTATTACAACCATTTAATAGAATGGGAAAAAGAAAGAGATAATGCTATAACTCTTTTTGAGGCTTTATTTAAGTAATATCAAGGGTTATTGTTAGAATAAGTGACCAACGCTAGAGGGGGGGTGAATAGCGTTTGATCGTAGAAATCGCAGGAATAAAAAATTAAGAACGTGAAAAGTAAAGAGCGTAGAAAGCGTAAAGGGAGCACACCAAGATTTATACTGGTTCACCACAACGTGTGGCTAATCCAGTCTCCCGAGAGACTCTCTCGAGCTACACTACTTCCGTTAAGCTTACGGGTGCTTAACAAACTGTTACAACCTGAGAACTCGAGTTCCACAAGCCTCAATACACTTGCTTTGAGATACTGCACTCCAAGAC